TGCACTGTCATATAAATAGACAGTGTAAAAAAAAGGCTTACCAAAATTGTTACAATTTGTTGAAACACCAACAGAATAAACATAGTTTTAAAACAACGTTTTTGCAACAAAGGTGACTTTGGGATATACAGAGTCTGAATTTTTCTGACATTTGTGAGTGTATGCTTATTAAAGTCTGTGTCACTTAAAATGGATGCCCAATAATAGAGCAAGTCAGTGCTTGTATGGCTCTACTAGTTCATCTTCTTAACATTTATGTTCCTAACGTATAACTATTACGAACAAGATACTCCCACACTCAAATTAGAGAAATGCCTTGAGTAACAGGATGTATTGGTCACCCACGTTAGCGGGCTTTTCCTGCCGCACCCATTGCAGAGGGTGAAGGTAAACGAGCGCCCCCCTCCCTGACTTTGAGAATTTTCCAGCTTAATAGCCGAACTAAAACAATTAGTAGCGAAAAATTCAGTCAATGGGATGTATCCAACATGGTGAGTGTTGCCCGAGTAAGCATCGACCGGAGTCAGAAATCATTTGAAGATAAAAATTAATTTATAGTATACAAGGGAAACAAGTAATTTAAAGAAAAAAATTTAGTGACGTTTTTAGGAAAAATTTTCAAAATATCCGACAGGGTAATTCATGTAAAAGTACGCCCAAAATTTTAATAATAAATTAATAATTTTAAATAAGGTTTTTCAAATCGTGCTGCGCGCGTTGAGTGGAGAGAGCCATAGCGAACGAGAATAGAACATTTTTGAAAATTGTACGTATAGTTTAGGCGCTGACGGTCCACAACAACGCAAACGTTTTAAGAAAAACACGTTTTCGTATGGAGCGTCCCCCAAAACGTGATTTCCCTTGAAATCTCGAAATTAGTTTCAGCCTAGTATTACATAACTTCCCTATACACTATATACTCCGTAATACTTGTACCGTACGTATACAAGATTTTAGTATCTACAGAATTGGCACCGACTTTTCGTATTTCCTGATATCGCTAGCTAGAGACTTGCTCTGACTCTAACAGCTGCCATTATCGTCGCTGAAAAATACATATGTATATTTTTCCAAATCTTACGGTCTCCTAATATCAGAACCAAACTATTTCTTTAAGAATATAAAGGAGAGTAAAAAACTGTCCAATGGCAAATTTCATGAAAAATGTGAGCCGCTTTTTCAGATAGTGACCTGTCTTGAAACTCCCTGACGAAGACTGCACATGACAGGGGAAATGTCGCGTTTCAGCCAACGACGCGGCGTGACCCGGACAACCAATAAGTTAAATATAGTTTATTTGGATTATTATTAAACTAATGTTTAATTAAGAAGAAGAGACAGGAATTTAAAATTGATTATGAATTCTATATATCTATTCTCCAGGATGAGTTGAAAGCAGCCCTTAACACAACAAAAAATAAAGTCACCTATACTGAAATTATTAACATGGAATTGATAATATCATCAAATCAATGTATGCCAGAACTTCTTCAAATTTATTAATATCTGCTTGTCCCCTCCATATGGCCGGAAGAACCGTTCTACTTTGTGAGAATGATGTGTCATCGAAAAACAAAACACATGTTGGCAACATCATGTGCAAAATAAAAACACCATTGTTAATAAACATCATAAAAAAATCATACATGTGTTTGAACATCCAGCAATTACATTCGTGCGCAACAAAACTTATTTAATTTGACAGTGGCTGTGTATATTAAATTTTCAATTAAAATTTAGCGAAAAACGCTTAAAAACACATCTCTACGTGCCCAAAAAACGAAGTAAATTACCAAGCATTAGGATCATCTCGGATGAGATAATTCAGGCCTCGATGAAGGTTTTAGAAACCGCGTTCGCTATCGAACATATTTAAGACAGTGATGTCATCATTTATTATTCGTATTTAAACTTTTTACAGATGTGTTAAGGCATTTTTCATGCCAACAACGAAACACCGAAAACGAAAAAAAACATCAATCACAAAACATCGATGTTCAAAAAACATCGGCGTCGATGTTTAAAACATCGATATTATAAAACACCATGTTTTGAAAACACACATAGATGTCGTACCTTGTCGAATTTTGAATAGGTTGGATACTGGGGTCATCGCTTGACGGCCAACCTTCATCCTCGCACCAACTTCAGGTGAGTGCTCATAAAAGAAATTGACCCGGCGTCCCATGGCCTCCTCGGACGCCAATACTCGGACCTCGGCCCTCGCCCCGACCGTTGGCCACCAACAACTCCCCCTGCCATTTCACGAGGATCGGACGGCATAAAGCGTCAGCTTTTTCTTGCTTTTGTTTTCCCTATAACCGCTATGCAGTACAGAAAAGTTATGTAATGTGCAGCGAAAAAAAATAGTGAAGTCAGCAGAAAAACTGCTAATTTGCGCCTCGTAACGAAAAATGATAAAATCCAGTTGCTAAAACGGTAGAAAAAGCCTCTAACACTCGTTGTATCCTTTTATAAACTGATACCGGGAAAAATCGATGGATAACAAAACATTCTGTCTGTAAAAACGAAACTGTTAACGTTCAAGCCGATTTTGTCTCCAAAATTGTTTTTCGTTCTTTCGATGGATTGATCACTTCCCCTTCAATTTGAACCGAGATTTAATTCAGAAGACTTACATCAAGCCTCTGGACATTTGCAAAAGATGACTCCATTGCTAACATTAACTACGCCCGTATAAAGCCGCAGAATGGAGACATAAAACTCTTACACCTGCCGCCCTGGACGCAGCAGGCCCCGGACAGCCAATAAATACGACCCGCCGCGGAAGCCTACGCTCCCCCACTGTCTGTCTACACTGTTCGTCTGCTGGCGTCCGACTGTTCCGTTTGATTTGAATTGTGATCCGTGATGAGAAATACCTCTTACACTGCTGTTGAAAATGCTCCGTACATATTTTGTATTTTGGCATACATCACAAGTCAATATGCGCCGAATTTCTATGATATAATTCCTGTAAGCAAATTTAATAAAAATATTTATCTTTTACTATAAACATGGGCAGAATATCGATGCCATAAAATTCATTAGTGTTTCCGTCTTTGTTTGAAAAGATCCAAAGTATAAATATCTGGCCTTAACTGACATCTAAAACAAACAATGCTATTTCAATTTGAATATCTGCTGCTTATAGCAAAAGTCAGTATCACTTGTGAATTCCAAAACGAAATCGTCTTATTGGGCCCAATTTTAGGGCTTCATTCTGTGGCGTGAATCATGTTGTGAATTCATCTGGTCATTATTGTAGTCTACATATTATCTTGTTCATATAAAACTCTGCACGTCGAAAAAGATGCGATGGTAGTCTACTTAACAGTTCCGGATAATTCATTTCTAAAATTAATATCAACAAGGAGAATTGTTACAGTGATAAAATTCATCGAAGTAACTAATATTTTGAGAATGTCCCTTGTTTTAAAATGCCAAAAGCATATAGTCGGGTAACAAAGTTGAAGTGTCTTCCCAACAAATAGTCTACATTTTTAAAAGAGTCCAAATTTTCGCCAAAACACACTGTCTCAGTGATCAAATCGCCACCTCTGGACATTGTTAACACCTTCTATCAATGCGCAAATCTTTCATTGTTGTCGTCGATCATTTGTAAAAGTACACATCTCAGTTCCTGCATCACTTACATCATTTTGTATAATGAATTTAAGGTCAAATGTTGAATGATAAAGCAAGTATGCTTTATAAAATATTTCTTTAATATTATAAACGCTCTATCATAGATTTATCATTCAAATGTCATTTTACAATTTTCACAACTCCAAATGTATAACCCGGTTCTGTATACCCCAGCTTCATATAACCTCATAAAAACGAGAATAGTAATTACAGATGTCTACAAAACTACGTATTTCTTTATGTCTTAGTGTGGGAAATCTTCAGATTTCACTGCATAGTTTGAATCAATTCTGTCCCTTAGGTCAACAATATACCCAAGAATTGATTTATTTCTTACAAAAGTAGATTTCTTAAAATTTAACGCCATTATTCTTCTCGGAGAGATGCCAAAAGGTGTTCTAAATGCGAACAAATGGTCAGGAAATGGATTTAGAATTTACGACAATATCATCAACAATAAATATGTAAAGCTTTGACTTAAGTTTGTAGTACTTCATCCAGGCAGCTAAATGAAAAGCGGTATGTTACTATTTTCAAAAAGAAGTCGCCTAAAAACATAACTGCAAATCCGTTATGCCTGATAACCGTTAAATTCTTGATCTCAGAGGTAAAGAGGCAATTTTGCCAATTCGAAGCAGATAATTCAGTCGTTGAAAAAACCACGTGCTTCCATAAAAAACCCTAAAGAAAGCCTCATTCACTTTACAGCGTGTGTATTTTGCTGGCTTTCAGCGTTATGAATCTTCTTGCGTTTGAAACAAAATCCTCACTGCAACCGTTTTTATTTTTAAGCATCACAGTGGTTCATTTTATATGTGAACGCGCACTTAATAATACCATTCTCAATCATGTGTTGGACGATTCATGTACATCCTTTTCTAAAGCTTGGGGAATTAGATGGGCTACAAAAGTATGAGTATATCTCTAACTTTAATCCTGAATAAGAAATTCCAATTCGGTAATTTGATTCTAGCGAAAACATCTTGAGATTTTAATAAAATCATTTTATCCTATTCTTTGCATCCATCATTAACTTGCATTGCTGAATTTGTTATTACCTGGTTCTCAAACTTTTCGATTAAACTAGCGGTAAGGCGTGTTAACATCGCTGTCAAAATCTTTCTCCAAAATTTAGTGTGTTCTTAAGTCCAATTATATAATATAATTTTAAAAATTCTATGATAACATTTGGAATCTCTCATGAGATAGACAAAAAAAAAGTTTAGATAAATTTTTCACAAGCATTATAGTATCAAGTTCCTTTATCATCAATCTGTAAAATATAATAAAATCTGTTAAATAAATTGTGTAGATTTTCTTCTATTTACCACCTACAACTAAAAAGATTGTAAGCGTTATAATGCATTCTCATGACTATCTGTCACATAAACATTTTCAAAAAACTGCTCAACTATAGCTGAAATTTCACTCGTGTACGAATAAAAATACATTTGCTCATTAACCCAATTTTCAAACACAGACATGCTTTGTTTTCGAATGACTATATGTATTTTGTCCTCTGCCTGACAAGATCTTCAAGTAACCATCATAGCAATTATAGGTTCCAAACCGCGTTAGATCTGTTCGAAGAGGGGTTACTTCCTTCTAACTCAATCATTTAAAGTCTTTTTCGTGAATGCGGTTCATGAGTGCATTATCGTGTCTGCCTTGTTTTCCTATCGCACTTTCGTATTTTGCCTCATTATCACGTTGCTGTACTTCCTTTGGTTGTGGCATCACGATAAATTCTCAGGTCCTTAATTATTTCTTTGCGTTAGAACCTATACTGTTGCACTATGTAGAATTCGTGACCTCTGCTGTGACTTTGTGTTATATACCATGAAAATCGAACTCTCCAAGAAAGTACTTGATATTTCGCCATATCTTAGGTCAGCGACATCCTTAGGAAATCATTGATCAATTGGCGAAAATGCTTAATTAAGGTCCCCACAGCCTCTTCATAGTAGCTCAACAGTCCATGATGCCGCAATTTGCTAGCGACCATAATTTCCTCCTTTCGGTAACTGCCTCTCTCACACCAATTACCTTCTTAATAGTCTTTTTTTATACTCAAACGTGTAGCTTGTGCGCCAGATTCTCTCCCAAAATTATTGATTTAAGAATCCATTCCTTTCTGGCAACGGATAAGTATATTAACCACATTGCTTCGCCGTCCTGCTAACTCTGAAAGATAAATGCGGCTTAGCAACGTCAACCTGCCTGAGCAATTAAAATAATTCTCGATGTCACGAAAAAAAACAGGTTCGCTATTTTGTACCCAACAATGTTAATTTGAGTTTATGCGATAGCTGCCGGTATGCATACCACAACCGTTATTATGCGGCGAAAAAGTATGTCGGTTTAGCTCACTAGTTTTCTTTAAACATTCCTCGTAAGTAGCAAAATAACAGTAAAGAAAGTTGTCCGGTCCTATTAGGCAATTGGATTTCATTAAAATATAATCACCAAAATATCAAAATTGCAACCGTACAGTTTGATGGCAGCGAAATCTTATCTAAGAAATCAGAGTTTTAAATAGGTCATGTCGCATTTTTAAAAGAATTAAAGTGTTTGTTTTAATTACAAATTCGTATTCCCGCGCTCAATTTTATTAGTATTGAGAAATACAGAATGAATAGGCGTCTCCGCGTAATGGAAGGTTAAATTCCTTCCCTAGTTGAAGATTAAGGATTTTAAAAGACGAATTTGTGTTGTTGTATTAACCTTTAGTGATTTAGTTTTCACACCATTATGGCTATGATGTGTAATAAGTTTTACAAGCGATCATTGAGTTTGTGGTTAACAAGACATAAATTACGATAGTATCGTAATAGCTTATAAATGTAGCACTAAAA